AGCTAGGCAGTGTCAATGTTACCAGTCAAAGCTAAGGAAATTAATATTTTTTAGTGCTGCACTTTTGATATGCCGATGAAAATTAATTAATTTTTCATCAGATTCCATGGATATTTGTTTTGTAGCATTACTGTGGAATTTTCATATAGGCCTGAGTCAAAAATACAAAACAGGAAACAATTAATGTGTTTTCCATGGGTACTTCCAGGAAAAAAAAAATCCACCAGCTGTGTTTCCATATTTTATGCTAAATACAGCATAAGAATGAGAACAGAGCACAGCCTGTTTTACTTATAAATCCTATATTTTTCTTCTTCTTTTGGAAGAAGTGATGGCTCCTTCCTCCTGCTTTTTTGATATGTAATTAACAGCTTTTCTTCCAAAATATGCTGCTGTAAACAACTTATAATGTCTCTGCTCAGCTGGAATGGATTGCAGCGGGTAGATTTCTTTCCTCTCTTTGCATTTAAAACAGAAAGGAGGCGTCCTTTGTTTCCAACCCAATATACAATTGGCAGAATTCATCTCGGGCACACTGCTGATTCCTGCAGTCATGCAAAACAAAAGGAAACAGCAGAGGATTTAAGGACACATTAGTTCAAATAAGAAAATGTCAACTATTTTGTCACAGCACTAAAACATTACCAAAGTTATATAAAGCTTTTGTCTTTTGCTCTTTGTCACAAAGCCTAAATAGAATTTTGACTTATATAAGTAACCACTGCTCATACAAAATAACAATGCCTGCACAAATACAATGAACTGTAAGTGTAATTATAAGGTCAGAAACTTGTTTTTCTACAGTATCTGGGCTTTATTTCCTGTTCAACAACATCTGACCACTCTACAATGGTGAATTTTAGTTAAAAGCATTTCTTACCTAGAAAAATTGAGAGTTCATCTTCTTTTGCAATGATAGGACAGAGAATACTAATTTCTCCTCTTACCACTCAGGAAACTTCAACAAATCAGGAAATCACAGGAAATGAAAGTTTGTCTTTAATACGAAACATAATTCTTCACAATTGAAGTTTCATCCTTAGACAACACTCACCAACGTGGTCCTATACTTAGTTTTCTATTCCAAGAGATATTTCTATAATATACTGAAAAGGTCTATAAGTGCAAAAAAGCGATAACTCAGGTATTATGGGAAGACAAATTGACTGAGATTTCAAAATGTTGCAATAAAGAACCCCCAGAGTCGTAGGCAGGTGAAAGAACTGCTGATTAACAATTGCCTACTCCATAATGCAGGCCTTTTCAGTAGATAGTTTGAGTGAGTTCTTTAAAGTCTGCCATTTTCTCAACTGTTATAACTGATGCAGAGTTTCTGGTTCCTTTTTTAATATTAAAAATGTTACTATCAGCTATTAAATGAAATACAAATCCACATATGTCCATTTTCTATTAATGTATGTACTATTATGAATTCTTGACAGTTCTGATTTCAAAGACTAATAAAAGGCAATTATCAACGCAAATTAACAGAAGTGCATTTCAGAACTTACTGATAAACATACCATAAAATCAGCACTCATGTTAGTTCAAAGAATTACAGATATGCCTGGTGCATATTTTACACATCTATCCAACACTGTTCCATTCAGGCAAGAAACAATAACTTTTGTCCAGAAATTAATCACTCAGAGAAAATAAACAGTGGGTTTCTTTGGCTTAGAGGTTGCTTTGTTTATTATAAAATAAACATATTTTAGTGTCCTCTTCTGCAATGTTCATTTGGGTAAGTTGAGCTAAGACAGTATGGAAATACTTGAAAACTAAATGAAGTACAGAAAGAAAAATTATGTAATACAGGTTGTCCCCAAGAAAAAAAGGTAGGAGTTGTCAGCCAGCAAATTAAATATTTTCACTCAATTTTTCATTCCTTGATCTATCCTTGCTCACAAATTTGTTTTTAAGTAAAGCAAACTTAATGTAAAGTCTTGTATCACATTGCCTCAAGTTAACCTATTAATAATTAATATCTAGCTACAGAATAAGGGTGAAACAGGGAGATGTGTGATTTTTTTTTTTTTAAAGCAACAATTTAATTCTATTATAATGCTGCAGTCCTAGGGATTACTCCATTCGCTCTCTGAAAGCCAGAGCGTCAGAATGGCCATGCTACAATCAAAGATAGACTGAAATTTATTTCTAAAAATTAGAGTTTTCTCTTATGCATTTCTATTATCAAAAGCAGTTGAGTGCAGAAGATCACATCAGTAATCTGATGGTCCTGCCAGATTTCTGGATGGGTTTTAGGGTCTCCATGCAACAGCAGCTGGTATTGCTACTTAAATTACTTCACCTAAAGATAGCCAATATAGGTTGGTTTTTTCCCTAGAGTGGTAACAAAATTTTTTCCCACGTTCTTCCTAACTAGGTCCCCCCAAGGTTTTTACTGATAAGAAAGATTAATACAGGTGGGTGCTAAATCCAAGTGACAATAAAAAAGTATATTTACATATTGAAATACATATTATTATGCAGAAACCTGCTCATTTGGCTTCTTTCTCTTTTCCTTTCATTTGTGGATGGCAAGGGGAAAATCAAGGTCAAGTCACTTGTTTAAAAGACTAGAAACAATGAGAGAAGCTAGCTGCATGTTAGGAAGACAGTTTTTCACAGTGGAGCCTTCACCCAGCTCAGAGACAGCACCATGCATGGTGGGAGTGTTGATCTGCTAGAGGCCAGTGGTGTGAGGTACAACAAGGCCAGGGCTGGTCCTGCCCTTGGGTCACAGCAACCCCAGGCAGTGCCACAGGCTGGGGCAGAGTGGCTGCAGAGCTGCCCACAGGAAAAGGCCCTGGGGGTGCTGGTGACAGCAGCTGAGCATGAGCCAGCAGTGCCCAGGGGGCCAAGAGGGCCAATGGCACCTGGCCTGTGCCAGCAACAGCGTGGCCAGCAGGAGCAGGGCAGGGATTGTCCTCATTTTCTCAACACTGGTGAGGCCACAACTTGAATTGTGTGTTCAGTTTTAGGCCCCTCAGTACAAGCAAGGCATTGAGGTGCTGGATTGTGTCCAGAGAAGAACAATAGACTTGTAAAGTGTTCTGAAAACAAGTCTCATGAGGAGCAACTGAGGGAGCTGGGGCTGTTTAGCCTAGAGACAAGGAGGCTCAGAAGGACCAAACCTTATCCCTACAAGTGCCTGAAAGGAGGCTGTAGCCAGGTGGGGGTCAGTCTCTTCTCCCAGGTAACAAGTGACTTGACAAGAGAAAATAACCTCAAGTTCTCATGGGTAGGTTTAGATTGGATATTAAGAAAATTTCTTCACAGACAAAATGGCCAAGCATTGGAACAGGCTGTCCAGGAAGTGGTTGAGTTACCATTACTGAAGGGATTTAAAATTCATATAGATGTGACGCTTAGAGACATGGTTTAGTGGTGGACTTGGCTGTGCCTGGTTCATGATTGGACATGATGATCTTAAAGGTATTTTCCAATCTAGACAAATTCTGATTCTCTGATTCCCAAAGTGTTCATATCTCTAGGCATCTGTATCAACAGCAAAACCAGAAATATTACATACAGCAGTTAGCTTTTTCCAGCAGCTCTGTTCACACTTGTGGAGTTAATTCCTGGCTCTTTATTCAACATCCATTGTTCCCTGTTAAACAAGGGGGGGTACTGTAGCTGTAGGATTTAGGGAAGAGAGTGAGAGAGGGAGAGGGAAAAGCAAGAAATTAAATCCTAGACATACAAACTTACCACAATATACTGTCAAAAACACTCATCCACAGCTGCACTGCACAGGCTGCACAGGTTGATCCCATAAAAACTTTTTGGTACCTAGAAATGCATAAAGTGTTCTGGGAAAAATAGCTTTTTTCTGTGTTCCAACCAAATCTAGGCACCCTAACTGTAAATGGCACCTGTAAATGGTGGGTGAAGAATGGCTAAACAATTTCCCCCCTTTCTTCTGTCTTCCAAAAGGCCAAATTTCAACTTTCCTACTGTTACTTTACCTTTCCACAGATACACTATACAGCACTGAGGTGTCATTATCCGCTAGAATGGACATATGGAGACATTTCACACTATGCCTCTGAAAGAACAAGACACACCAAGAAGAAAATAGGAAGAAGGATTGAGGCACTCTTAAACTACTTTGTAATCTTGAGCTTTCCAGAATTGGGAGTGGACCTTGTATAAATCAAAACAGGGATGAGGGCACCTCTTTTATCTTGGAAGTTTGCTTCTTTAATGTTTCTGGAAGAGCCTGTATTTTCTCTTGTAAATGGTACTCACACAATGTTCTGTGTATGTATTTTGACAGGAGAGACAAGAAGACATGAAAACAAATAGAAAAGTGGAACAATACACAGAGAAGACAAAAAGATGAGGGAAAATGTGAGTACTTCAGTTTACAAGAAAATACCAAAGGGAAGTAAGGAAAAGATCAATTGGAGATCAAAATATATTAAAATCACAGATTCTGAAGAGTTGGGAAGTATACCATAATGTTTCAAAATTGACAAAAAGAGAGTTTTGTGTTAAAAAATATTGTTTGTGTATTCATTAATCTCCAGTAAGTGCAAAAAAAAATAAAAGTTTTTAACTTTTCAAAGAGGTTGTGATGCCCCATGGGGTATATTCCTGTGAGCTTTTAACAGGCAGTGCTGGAAGCCAAATGCTGCTACCTGCCACAAGGCCTGCACACCCTCATCCTACCAGCAAAGCATTTACTGGGGCCTATCATGAATGTCCAGTCCCAGCTTCTGCCTCCCCTCCTGCTTGAACTGGCACAGGCACAGGCTGTCTAAAGAAGCTCTTCTATCTCTGGAAGTGTTCAAGGCCAGGTGGGATAGGGTTTCAAACATCCTGCTCTAGAGTACGGTATTCAGGCAGGGGAGTTGAAATTAGATAATCTTTAGAGTTCCTTCCAACCCAAATAAGTCTAGATTCTATGACTCTATGTTGCCCCTCCACTGTCCACCCCTAAAGGCCATTGTGCCCAAAATGCTGAATCAGCTGCTCTGTGACATCAGCCCTGGAGCTAAAGGTACTGCAGGCATTAGTTGGCAGCTGTACTGAATGAGTCCTCACTTCTTGCAGCTGATACATGCCACTGGCAGTGATGGATTTGCTGTGCCTCCTTGTCCTACTGGCCATGTGTGGATCTGTGCTCAGCACATGGCACACCTGTGGGTAAGTGGCCTCAGGCTCTTGGAGGTAGTTTGGACAACATTTGAGGGGTGTTCCCTGTCCCCTCTGGCCACACTACAGTTTTGTGAGCCCCATGCAGGAGCATGGGACTCAAGCAGAAACAGGGGTGGACATACACACACCCCATGGGATTCCCTGGCTCTGCTGTCCATACAAACAATGCCAAGTGGGGAGGGAAGTTGGCTGACCTTCAACCTAAGCAGCAGCAAGCCATCAAGCAATAACTTTCTGTTTACAGAGGGACCTGTGGTCTCTGGCCCATGTCTGCTTCCTATAGCCCCATGGCTTATGACTATGACCCCATGGCTCCAGACTATGGCGAACTGCACACCATTGGTGGCACAGCCGTTCAGACAGGAGCCTGGGCTGGGATTGTCAGCATCCAGGATCCCTGGGAACCAGGCACAGGGCATATCTGTGGAGGGTCCCTCATCAGCACAGAGTGGGTCCTCACAGCTGCCCACTGCTTCATCAATGCCAGGTAGGGAGCAGCAGGGAATGGGTATATCTCCACTACACTAGCAGGTACTGTGCTGGCAGCACCATGGGCTACTCCGATTCTGTCTCCCTGCAATATGCCCAATGTCTGTGCACTGCAGACCCCAACTGAGAGACTACTCAAGAGAACACCCTGTGCTCTTGCCATTGCTTCCTAGAAGCCTCTAGATCAACATTCTCAAAGCCTAAGTCATGCTAGGGCAGTCATACACACTGCTTTCTTCTCTGACTTGCAAAGCAGAAGACAGGGAACTCCTGTGCTTCTGCAGCACATGGCTCTGCTCCCTCTCACCTCTTTCTCCATGTGTTTCTTAGGAACACCAACATGTGGCATGTGGTGGCTGGGGCTACCCAGTTGACTCAGCTGGGCCCTGAGGTGCAAGTGCGCCAGATTAAGCAGCTATTGGTTCATGAACACTATATTCCTGGTGAGGAGAGGAACAACATTGCCTTGCTGAAATTGGACCAGCCTGTCGTGTGCAGCCACTACGTTCAGCTGGGCTGTGTGCCGGACCTCACACTGAAAGTGTCAGAGCTGGGAAACTGTTACATTGCTGGCTGGGGTACTACCACTACAAGAGGTGGGTCGCCAAAAGGGACACATGCCCTGAGGACAAATTCGGCACATAAGGGAGATGGGTTGGGCTTCCCAATAGCAGAGGCCAGAGCCAGAGTCAGGCTGCAGGATATCTGGCTCTGGAAAGGTAGTCCTGGACCACTCCCCAGAACCAGACAGAAGGGGGAAAGCAGAGCGACACAGTATTTCCCAGGGAAGCCCTAGGGAAGAGCTTCACCCCACAACAAGGGAGGGGAATGACCAAGGAACTGCTGTATGCTCATTTCTTTCTGTGCATACAGCTGAAAGACCAAGTGATGTCCTGCAGGAGGCCAACGTCCACCTCATTGATGTCCACCTCTGTAACAGCAGCCTCTGGTACACAGGGGCCATCCACACCCAAAACCTGTGTGCTGGTTACTCAGAGGGTGGCATCAACCCCTGCCAGGTAGGAGCATGAGACAAGCTGCTCAGCCCCCAGCAGCACAGGCAGCCTGAGCAGCACCACCCAACATAGCCCAGGGCCTGCTTTGCCTAGCTGGTCACCTTCCCAGCCCCAGCTGCCCACCACTGTTAGGGCTTCCCTCCCCTTCCCCATATGCAGGTCCTTGCCCAGTGTCCCCATTGTCCCAGAGGCCTGGCACTACACCCAGAAAACACCTCTAGTGCTCTTGGCAGTCCAAAGGTCCAGATGCCAACCCTGGAACATCCGTCCTCTGCACATCCAGGATCACTGTGCAGAGATGAGAGACAGTCCTATTGTACAAGACCCTGACGTGCTCCCAGCCAAGGTTCTGGAGGCTCCAGCACCTGAGATGAGACCTTCTCGACCAGGAATACAACTCTGCCAAGGACTGAGAGAAGACAGTTCTAGTGCTGACAGCAGCTACCCAATATTACCTTATTCCTCTCTTGCTCCACTGCAGGCTGACAGTGGTGGTCCTCTGGTGTGCAAAGATAACAATGCTGCCTTCTTCTGGCTTGTTGGTGTGGCCAGCTGGGGGAAAAGCTGTGCAAGAACAAACCAGCCTGGAGTCTACACCTCTGTTCAGCACTTCTATGACTGGATCCTGGTCCAGATAGACCCGCAGCCAACAGAAGGGCGCGAAGACGTTCTATGACCACTCTAACCCCCCTCAGAAGCCAATGCCAATATCAAAACCATTGTGCTTATGAATGTAGGGAGTGAAGGTTGTGTTCATGTTTCACTAGAAAACATTCAATCCAGATCACCTGGAAACACAGAAGAGGACTGGACTATGTTCATGGAAGGGGGTGGTTATGGATACTTGGGTGCTAGCAAAGGCAGTGCTCTGTCTATGTCAGCCTGGTTTGCTGTTCACAGTAGCTGTATAAGTCTCTGTGTCTGTTTCTGTGTCAGTGTACCTGGCTCTTCGGAATGCACACAAGCACAGATACACAATTTTGTTCTTTAGAAAGCAGAGCTAACAAATAGTTCCGAGCTATCAGCTATCACAGACACTACTCATTGAATTATCATACTGGCCAGCCAAAGTTTATCCATCTCAAGAAGTCTCATTGTATATAAGCCAAGTAAAGAATTCCTTGTCATTGTTATGAAATGCAGAATGAGTAACAAATTTCCATTATTATGGTAATGATATCATAACATAATGGTTCTTAAGTAAAATATTAACTCTGAGTAATAGAAGAACTATAGGGCTGAACAGCGCTGAATTTTCATTGCTATTTGTTGTCTATACACTGAGAAAGAGAATTCCTTTAGGAAATTATGACAGAAACCTTTTCAAGAGCTTGCATTTCTTAGCAGCTCTCACCTTCCTTTTAGTGTCACAAATACAGGCAGTGTGAGTTGTGAAAAAACACAATGACATTCAGTTTTCCATAAGCAGGGTGATATGATTGCTCCAACATTTTTTACTGCAGTATAATGATGGAAAATTTCAAGCAGAAAAAAAATAAATCTAATACTCTATTTAGAGGAGCCATAAGCCACCATCATCCAGTAGTATCACTGAGATGCCTCTGTAATGCAAAATCCATAGCAATAATAATGATGCCAGACTGTAGTTTCCTTAAGGAACTGCATTTGTGCTATAAACATTCCTGCACATCTTTCTGAGGATATCTTACTACCACAGGAGATAATGGCCAACACTTCATACCTTCTTTTTTTAAATTATACTAACCAGTAAGTTTCAGACTAAAACTAGTAAGAAATCATTCACTTGCCAGAGATGATTGTTCCTTACAGTTTGATGATTTTTGTGTGTTCCCTACAGTATATTTTCTTATACTATATACTTATATAATGGCATTTCTGTTGGACACAAGGAACAATATATAATTACATGCTTTAGTGTTGTAATTTGAACTCCTGGGCACTGTGTTAGTAATGATATTTTCTTTATCCACTGTTCTTTTATAGCTTTTTTCAAAATTAATTATTTCCCCAATGTCATTAGGGAATTTTGCTTACAAGCATGGTCTCTACTTAATACTGTTAATTTAAACAACCAGACTTGAATCATAAGAAAGGTTAAAGAGGAAGCATGAGTCCAGTAAGATGTATTATCTTTTTCTCTCACACCACATTTGCCTGCGCTCTTGGACAAGTCTCTGAACTGTCTTTCTAGGATACTGTTACATATATACTTAGCAGCAGGACAAAACACAGCACTAGCTGCAGAGAATAAAATCCTAGCCAAAACTGGGACAAATGCAATACATTAATTACCTGTTCTTGCAACAGTGAACAGTGAGAATGCAGAACTGGAACTTACAATATGATTAATTTTTGGTGCAAAACTACCATGTTTTAAAGGAAAAAAAATGCAAAGAAACAAAATATGCTAGGTCCTTCAGTAACGCACAGTGATAATAAACATGCTCAAAACCAAGCAGTTTGAACCGGACTATTTTGTGTCATGATATATTTGCAGTCTGAGATTCCTATATACTTTCACTGCATAACCAGTATCAAAAGAGGCCTTTAAGTTTACAGTGCTTTTGGTACAGGCACGTAGCAAATGGCAGGGATGAGAAGTAACATGCTCTGTTGATATGTGAATGGTGATACAGGGCCAGAAAAAGAAATAGTTAAGAATAAAGACATAGAGTAAAGAGATAAGAAATTCATAGTAAAAACTAAGAATAAAATACTTTTTTAAGAAAAATGTCTTATTTCGGAAATGACAAACTCTTATTTAGCACAAACAAGATAATAACGTGAAAAGCATTCCTGGATCAAATGTTCCTTGTACTGAAAATGTATATTTAGCACTTGTGCACTGATTCGCATTTTCTTTTCTGAAATGTCCTGCTGTTCATGTTAGCTTCTTTTTCTAAAACTACAGTGACCTTGTTTCCTTACTGATGGATCTTTACCAATAGCAGGATCCTACAGGGTATTCTACTGTCCAGAATGTCTTTGCACAGTGGTTCCAGGTATGATTCCTGATGACTATCTTTGCTACTCCCATCTTCACAGAATCACAGAATTGACTAGGTGGAAAAGACCTTTGAGATCACCATGTGCAACCTATGACCAAACACCACTTTGTCCACTAGACCATGGCACTGACTGCCACATCTAGTCTTTCCTTAACACCTTCATAGACAGTGATTCCCCCACATCCTTGGGCAGCCCATTCTAACTCCCAATCACCCTTTCTGTGAATAAATGCCTCCTAATGTCCTCCCACCCTAACCTAAACCTCCCCTGACACAGCATAAGACTCTGTCCTCTTACTCTGTCACTGGTTGCCTGAGAGAAGAGTCCAGCTCACATCTGGCTATACCCTCCCTTCAGGAAGTTGTAGAGGTCCCCCCTGAGCCTCCTAAACAACCTCAGCTCTCTCAGCTGCTTGCCATAGGACCCTGCTCCAGACCTGTCACCAGCCTTACTGACCTTCTCTGGACATGCTCCAGCACCTCAATGTCCTTCCTAAACTGTGGGCCCAAGACCTGAGCACAGTATTTAAGATGTGGCCTCACCAGTGCTGAGTACAGGGGACAATCCCTGCCCTGCTGCTGCTGGCCACGCTGTTGCTGGCACAGGCCAGGTGCCATTGGCCCTCTTGTCCACCTGGGCACTGCTGGCTCATGCTCAGCTGCTGTCAGTCTGTATCCAAAGGTTCCTTTCTGCTTGGCCACTGTCCAGCCACTTTGTCCCCAGCCTGGAGCTCTGCCTGGGGTTGTTGTGGCCAAAGTGCAAGACCTGGCACTTGGTCTTGTTAAACCTCATACCACTGGATTCAGCCCATCGATCCAGCCTGTCCATGTCCTTCTGCAGAGCCCCACTATACTCCAGGAGATCAACACTCCCCTCCAACTTGATGTCATCTGAAAATTTGCCAGTAGTGGACCTGAACAACTCAGCAGGTATGATATTGCAGCCTTGCTTATTAGAGGAGATGTGATATCTTATAATGCTACTAAGGGGGGAACATCTTTAAACTAAAATAGGGTAGGTCTAGATGAGACATTAGAAAGAAATTCTTTACTGTGAGGTTGGTGAGGCACTGGAACAGGTTGCCCAGAGAAGTGGTGGATGTCCCATTCCTGGAAGCATTCAAGGCCAGGATGGATGAGCCTTTGAGCAACCTGGTCTAGTGGAAACGGGAGTAGACTAGATCCCTTCCAACCCAAGACATTTTATGATTCTATGAATGTGATTAAAACTTTCAACATTTCACATTTACTCCTATCCAAATAGTAATAAATATTTACATGTTTAAAAAAAAAAAAAATCCTTGTGCATTTCTAGCAAAGGGAATGACATTAGGGAAGCTGAATAGGTATTTGTTGTGATCTCAGAATTTAAGCAATTTAATCTTTCCTACTTTTATTAATCCTGTTTCCAGGATGGAAATCTTGGAAATAAGATAGAGAAGTTTAGGAAGTGCTGGAAAAAGAGCAGGTAGGGAGTCAGGTGCTGCAGAGTGATTTCAGCCAATGATAGCTCTTTGGAGACGCAAACCAAAATGAAAGCAAATGCCAGCACTGAAAAACAAGCTACCCAGGGAATGGGTCTCTGGGGGGTAGCTGGACAATCTGCCTCCAGAGTCTTGGAATGGCATTGACTCAGCAGGGAGCTGAGGGAGTTGCAGGGAGGGCAGGAACACCAAGGATGACTGAAGCAGTTGGCACTGGGAGGGCACTTGCCCAAGACAGAAGGGGGAACCCTCATGCTAAGGACCTGCACCCCTTTCAGGTGATCACATCTACTGAGGGGACTGATCTGGCAGAAGTGCTGGGCTCCCATGGCCCTGAGGGTCCCGCCAAGCCCTGTTTCCCCAAAAGTAGAAGTTGTCACACCTCTGGGGCTCCTGAAAAGCTCAGAAGCCTCCTCTCTGGCCCCAAAGAGGGATATCCCAGAGAGAGGAATGAGGTATCACAGACCTGAGAGTCCTGAGAAGCCCAGTCACCCCCCTCAAAATGTCATTACCCTGGTTGTTCCATGGAGAGAGGGTGTCACCACACCTGGTCTGAGGTAATGGGCCTGTGTCATTGTCCCCAAAGTCCCACCAAACCCAGCATCCACAGGAAGACAGTTCTCATCGAGAACTGAACATAAATGTCCAGGGCCATGCTGCTGCCATTCCACCACACACGGGCAGCAGTCAGTGGGCCAACACTTACCCTGTCCCAGCCACCAGCCCCTGAAGATGTCTCCAGGTCTGCAGGAAAGTAATCACCCCAGCCCTCTCCCAGGCCAAGCGGTCTCCATTTTCCCAAGCCTGCAGATCCTTCCAGCCCAGCCTGACATCTACCTTACAGCCCCAGATCAGGGCGCACCGACCCCCAGAGCCAGCATTGTGGTGTAGTGCCGCACTGTGTTGTAGTACAGGTCAGAATCCAGGCTTGTTCTCTCTCCAGAAGGAGGTATACTGACTGTGTAAAACACCAATCATAATAAACAAGACAAACCCAAGATGCATTCCCTCACTGAGGAAAAATGCTTTCTACCCTCCAAACTTCAGGGCTGAGATGAAGTCCCTCCTGTCCCGACGTTCAGTCATAGACGGAGGCAGAACAGTTCCCCCCAAAACCTGAGGAGTCCTTGAGGTGGCTGTAAAAACCTCACCTTCTGAGCTTGCCCTCACAGGTGAAGTTCTTGAAGTGGAACTCGCACGGCCCCTCCTTGACGTCCATGTAGTCCGTGGGGCCATAGTCTTGGGGTCTCCAGCGTCTAGACACCCGTGGCCCTGTCAACATCTGCAGCACAGCCCCCAGCCCCGACGCACCCGGGGCATCTGCCGCGTTCCACTGCGGGGAACTGCAAGGAGTTCTTTTAGTAATGGATGGTCGAGAATGAAATTAAACCAAACGAGGCAAACATCTTATCTGTGAACTGTTTATTGGAACGAAAAGGAAAAGCAGTTGCTCAAATGAAAGACGGCTAGAAAAGACAGAAAAGGAAGAAGGAAAACAGAGAAGGAATGGCGGAACCGGGAGACGGAGAAGACAGCCGAAGAGAGGGCAGCACCCGCAGCGAGCCGGCGGCGCTGGCGGCGTCCAGGGTGGGTGTGCTGGTTGTGCAGGGCCGGCTCCGAGCGGCCTGTGCAGCTCTGGGGCGCGGTTTTGGGTGCTTGTTACGCAGTTACTTTTTGTTATATGTGTATATGATAATTCGTGCAAATAAAATTGCCGTACATTTTATAATTATAAAATAAAATATTAAGATATACTCTTATAAGAAATTTTTTTTTAAAACCGCACAAGCCAGCGACGGGGATTGCAACACAATGTTGAAACCACCTGGACAAAGGAGGGAGGACTCCATTCACAAGCAACTGAACATGGCCAGTCCGGAGATGTATCACCCATCAAAGTGGTCCAAGGAGTGCCCGGACAATAAATATCCGAAAGTGAGATAGCCAGAGCCATCAGGGAGATACATCTCATTACCAAAATGTAATGAGATACATCTCCTTACCGAAATCCAGGAATGGGATCATGGGTGTTCATCACGCTCTGGACATGTATTGTTCAACTTGCCACAGAAAAAATAACTCTACCTGAATACGTATAGTCTAAACAGGAAGAAAAGGGACTCTGCCTCGGGCAATAAAAATCGTATAAAAATCAGCCAGACATAACAGTCAGCATGGAGCTTTGGAGACCCTCTGCTGTAGCGGTCAAACCTGTATCTCCACCCAGCACCAACACCTGAGCTCGATACTGACCTTTTTTTTTCTTTTTGATAGTGGCTTTTTTGTTGTTATTCTCTAAATTTATATTTGGTACATTTAATAAATTAATAAATTGGGGCTTTCATCTGTAACACTTTTTATGGCCCTGGCCCCTCCCAAAGCCTGCCTGCTGGCAGGACACTGTTGGCCCAGTCCAACCTTTCTGGACCCGATTGAAGAAGACTCTCTAGGGAGCTCAGTGTCTCCTGCTCCCTGTCTCATGTGAGGTGTTGCCATGCGAAGTTCTCCCAAAGGCAAGGCTTTTCCTTGTTCCATCCTGCAGTGGCACACGTGCAACCCCTCCCCCATGTGGTGCTGACATCCCTTGTGGAAGTGTAACAGAAGTGAATTTTTTCCTCACAGCACCCATGATGCCTTATTCTGTCTTCTGCCTTTTGATTAAAAGGCAGCCACTCTCAATATGTGTATTTGCCTATCCATCTGTTCATTCATAGCCTTTGTGGTCTGAAGAGAAGAGAGATGAAAACACAGACTGAAGATTTGGGTAGGAGCTGTGTAACCCATACGGAGCAGAGAGCAATGAGGCAGTGCTGGCCATGTGAATCAGACACAGCCTTTCGCACAAGCTTTACAAAAACTCTAGGCTTTCTGAGCTCATTACCTTCCCAAAATTAAGAGGATCTTCTGGATTATCTCATCTGTTTCCCCTTTTTGTGCTAATGGAGGGTACCAATGTCACATCAGTCCCTGCTTGGCTACACGATCACTATCCTGCCTATCCTCAGCCATCCCAGTAATGGCCCAGGTAATTGTGCCACTGTTTGCTATGCCTTGGGCTGGGGAACTTTTCTTTGGATGAAAGGTGAAAAATGTCTTTCAGATATCTAAGGCAGGCCTCATGTTAGCACATCTTAGTGTTATCAGAAAAGCAATATGGCCAAGAGCTATGTAATGTGAGTGATGTGAAATAACACCAGAAGCTAATTTAAAGCAAACAATAAAGAGAGACAGAGCCTGATGAAATATTATTTGTAGGAAAAGGCAACGTTTTGAAGTTTATGAAGTATCCATGGATATATTTTTAGTTCAAGTCCATGAATGTTACTTAACAATTAATATTTCAGAAAATTGGTATGTGTTGAATAACAGCTCTTAGCATATTGCATCATGCAATATTTTATTTATATAATAACTGACTTTTCTATTAACTTTTTTCCTGAATTTGAGAACATTGAAAATTATTCAGTTTGTGTCTGTTCCCAAAGTAGATCTCAAAGTCTTCCTTTCTCCTTTCCGTTCTTCCGTTCTTCTCTATGTTGTGTATGGTTTCTCACAGCTGAAAATACAAGATGCAAAAAGCAGATGATTGGTCTCTTCATTTTCAAAGCACACTGAACTTGTGTTCTGGGCAACTTTTTTTTTGTTTGTTTGGTTTTTTTTGTTTTTTTTTTTGTTTAATTACAAAGATTTTAAACATACGAAAGAATGAATGTTGCTCCTTTATCTAAGGACAACTTGGTGTGTATATTAGTTTTAGGTCCTTGCTGGCACTCTACAGGCACACTGAAACACTGCAAACCATGTCATTCATTGTAGATAATAAAAGCAGGGCCTGTGCATTACACAGTGAGAGGTATATAGATATACGTATAGATATAGATATAGATACATATAGATATATATATAGATATATATAGATGTATATAGATATACATACATTGATATTTTTGTATTTATATATAGGCAGCACAGTTGTAGCACTTTGTAATTACATTCCCTGTGTTTACTGGCAGCAGATCTAGCTTCCTGAAGAACAAACCTGTTCTTACACTAAGTGAACAGAGCAGCCACCAGCAAGGGCAGGTGCCTCGCTCCCCCCAGGGCAGTGCCAATTTTCCAAGCCCGTGCCACCCCCAGGCCGCCTGCGGTCCCCATGACCCGCCCATCTCACGGCTCCTTCCAACCTCGCCGACGGACATGGGCGACAGCAGCAAGTCACCTTCTAGGGATGTACTGCAAATCATCGGGCAGGCGGCTGGTCACCTCCAGGCCGGCGTCCAGCTTCTCCTTGTTGGCCTTGGTCCATCTCTTGATCTTTACGAGGAGGTCGGGGCGGCCGTAGCGGAAATACGGGTTCCAGAAGTGGTACAGGGGCCCATCAGCGTAGCTGGTGTCGCCCTCCACCGTGGCCGGCCTCGGCCTGACCCCGGGCGCGCTGCCGGCCAGGCTCACCATCAGCTTGTGGAACCCGTACAGGTTGAGCTGGCGGACGATGCTGCTAAAGTTCTTGGTTTTGAACAGCTCCTTCTTGCCAGCGGTGCTGAGCCCCACGCACAGCACCTCCTGCTCGAAGAGCCTCTGGTCGATCAACAGCCCTTCGCCACGGGCGTCCCAGCGCACCGAGTCGATATACGGGCTGTTGACCAGCAGCCACAGCTTCACGGGAAAGGTGCGGGGCCAGAGGGCGACGGAGGAAGGGTGGAAATCGGCCGGCAGCGGCGGCTTCGCCATCGCGCCGGGCGAACTGTCACCGCACGCGGCGGCGCGCGCCCTACGCCGCCAACGCCGGCCGCGCGAGGGCGCCGCCCCGCCGGGCCCGGCACGCGCCCGGCGCGCGAGGCGCGGCTCGCGCCGGCACCGCCCGGCCCCGCTCCCCTCAGTGCCCCGCGCAGAGCCCGCTGCCCTCAGCGCCACAGAGAGGCCGGGAGGAATACAGCTCCCTAGCGCTGTGATTTCAGCATTAGAATGCAGGCGTTACTTTATTTCAGCGCTGGGTGCAGGGGGGACCATTCCTCCGAACACTTGCCAGCACCGTTTCAGAATTCTCGTCCCGCTTATTTACATGTACAAATCTGTACACATTATAGCTTGGGCATGTGTATACAATTTGGGGAACAGTCTCAAGAAGGTCTCTGGTGGTTATTTGGGGAATGGTCCCTACCTTACTTTATCCTTTTGGGGCCACAAATTCACCTGAGGACATGACTTATGAATTGGCTCACAGTCTGATGCCTTGGTTGAGCAACTTCTTTCTTCGGTAAGAAAACTTTTTTTATGGTTTATAAAACTTGTAAACAATGGGTCTCAGTTTCTTGTCACAACAGAGATACTGCAAAGCATATGCTTTTTGAGTATTTATGTCATCAGTTTCCTCATGTCCCCTCAGTGTCCCCAGCCTACACCCTAATGTCCTCAGTCCTCTGCCCCAGCCATCCCTCAGCCCTCCAGCCTCTGCATCCCCCTCAGCTACCGCCGACCCCTCATCCCCACCACTTCCCCTCAGCCCCTCAGCCTCCTGTCCCTTCAGTGGCTCCTCAGCTCCTTCAGACCTGACATCCCTGAGGATGACAGTGCTGGTGCCACCAGCAACTCCCATTGTTCCTGTGAGTGATCTGGCTGAGGGGGTAATGCAGGGTGGATGCGGGGCCAGGCAGGAAGGGGTTCAGGGGACATGAAAAACAGCCCTGGTGCTGGTGAGAGGGCGTCCCTGCCTTGCCATGGGCATGACAGATTGGCTGTGCTCATTCCGGAGATATGCTGGGTGCTGCCTGGATCAGTGCTAGCACAGACCATCAACCACTCCTTCGACCACCTATGCCACGTGCATCAGAGCATCACCTCTATTTTGGGAACCCATAATGAGCAGAGCAGGTCAGTGGCTGCAGATCTTCAGTAAAAAAGGTAATGAGGAATGTTTCATGGCAGAACAAAGGGAATAGGAGTGACATAGACACCCTAAAATGGGGCAAGGGACTTTTGCAAAAGCATCAGAGACACTTGTGCTCTTGACTCAGAATGTGAAAGGGAAGTGGTGAAACTTAAACCAGAAGCTGGGTGCAATGTCCTGGGCACAGTTTAATTAATTAAATGGAACACAATTGCTGGAATGTGATATGGATGTGACTAATTGCCCCTGTTACCATGTGGTAACTGCTTGCTAGGTGCTGAATATTTATCGAAAACTACTCAGGACCCACAATTACAAAATGCTGAAGAAAAGCTCATAGACCCACATTTTAATGCAACTGCTGTGTGTTGATAATCAGAATCTGTTTTTATGCCTTGATCCTTTAGAAGGTCCTTAAATGGTTTTCTTTTGTAGTTGTTTTTGGGGATATTTTGCATGCATGCATGCTGACTATAGCATCCTGACTAATGCTTCTTCTATAATATAGGGTATGAAGGAGTCTGATTTTCAGTCAACAGTACATCATGGAGGGATAGCTCAGCCATTATTTGTCAAAAGAGAAACAGTCTTTTTTAATATATGGGCAATCTCTGGCTGAAATTCAATAGAACCAGATTATCTAGCCAAGAAGCTATTGAAGAGTAAAGGGATTAATCCTTTGGTGCAGTATTGTATAGACTTTGGGATCACTGTCATTGCAAATTGCTTTTCCAGCAAAAGATGCCTATGTGCAAAATAGCATGAGTGATGGCAACAGCACTCCCTCTGTCACTTGCAAATATTGTGCTTTTCTGCTCCATTTAACCTTAGCTATGGATACTTGCGCTGGCTCTGTGATTAAAGCTTACAGAAAAATACTTCCCAAACAGTCTGCCTGGGCCAGCACTTTTGCTCTTGCCCTGAAAAAACAAATTGTTCCCTGGATTCACAGCTGGAAAATCAGACAAACGTGAAAAAATATTACTGACTGTTGACTTTGGTCAAGGTTGCAGCCAGAGAGAGAGAGGGTGGAGGCTGAATAAACTCAGCCAAAATTCACTCAAAGGGCCAACTGTGTATGATGATTTGGCCTGCACATGCAGAGCAGGAAGCACAGTGGCTCTGCAGCTGGCAGAAGTGAAGTGGAGCAGCAGCCAAGACTAGCTTTGGCAATTAAATTTTAGTATAAGTAGTTGCTCTTAGGTTACAAAGGAAGTGGTCTGGTGCTGGGCCAGCAGATCTACAGCTTTGCTGTCCCCCACTAAGCCACATCACATAGCTACTTGCAATTCACTGTCCAGCCAGACATCTCTGTGAAGTTCATCAGAGAGAGGGGTTCAACTTGCTTTGTAAGAAACAGGCCCAACAAATTGTCAGAGTTCACAAAACACTATTTCGTCATGCTGGAGTTCTCACATATGAGGGGCGTTTTATCTTTAGCAAAATACTCAAAATAAGTGAACCAAGCAAGCTCAGTCTGCTCAGGCACAAGTTCATATTTTCAAAGGCACTGAAGCATCCAATGCAATAGTCTGAAAGCCATGTCTGAGATTTTTTATAGTGGTTAATCAAAAATCCATGATCTGCAAACTGTCTCAAAAAAATTGTTGTTTACTCAGGCAAAAGCTTGAAAACTGATTGCACATTCCTGTGGTATAGCTATATTCAGATTTACTTGTGTTCATCATTTATCACCTCAACTAAAGCTGCAGAATCAGAACAGATGCCTGGAATTCTAAAGTCAGATTAACTTTATTTATACTGTATTTCACAGCCTTTCAATAGTTCTTTCTTCCCATGTGCCCTGCTGCCCTTTCTTTGTCATTTCACAAGCAAAATCAGAGTCACTGGTCTAGTGGCAGAAGGGTCCCAAAACCAACCTTCTTATTATAATGAATAGTAAGTCATAGCTGTGCCATCCCTCAGTTTCTTCTATGAGAGAGGGGTGATGGCATTTTCTTATTTATTAATGCAGTTGAGTATAGGGAGAGGTGGAAATACTCAGATGTTACAAGACTGCCCAAGAATATTTTCTTGCTGCCATATCAGACATAGTTTGCATTTCAGGAGTCTTCAATACTCTGAAAATCCCTTACTTCCAGGAAGAACTTCCACTCTGAAAATCTTTGTAGTTAGCCACATTTGATCTAGATGAGATAAAACATCATAAAGATATGGCATCAACAAACTTTAAGAGGTCATGTTAATGCCTAGAGGAATCTAGAGGATACCTGGATAAGGCTTTGATCTAACTTCCATCAAGGACTGCAAGATGTGGTTACTCACAAGCCTTGCAACAAAATTGTTCTTGGCACAGTTAGTCCAAGCTACACTCAGAGCACATGTGAGAGCTGCATGCCCATCCTGCTGCTCTGCCTGTGCTGCTTCCACATCTCTTCTGACCTCTGCTCAGCCTTATCAGATCCAAATTCCCCCAGGCCACTGCCTTCTGGAAAGAAATGGACAGGTTCATCTGGACAGGAAATATTGGTATAAAATTGATTATGACAATAGGGAAAGCAAGAGTGGGGGCCCTTATCTCTCCAATGCCTTTGTCATTCTCTCTTTGTCCTGCGTCAGGTCAGTGCCTGTAGTAAGGACATCAAAGAACAGTAACAAAGCCAAGGTGTTGCCAGAGGTTGTGCAGTGGGATGCACCCAAAGCACCTCTGCCAGACTTGCAGGCCTCTGCCAGGCAATGCAAGCTCTGGACATCTAAGAACAAGCCACAGGGATTCCCAAAAGCAAAGGCACCCTTGAAGCTTTCAGTGTCCCTGAAGTACTTAAGATGAATACAGAACAGGTATTTGTCAGTCTAGACTGCTATTTGCCTGGAGAAATTAAACCCTCCTGAGATACCAGCACTGACATCTTATTGTTTTTGCGTTTTTAGAGACTGTCTTGTTTTGAACAATTAAACACCAGTATTTTCATACTGTTCTTCCTATGCTTCTTTATGACTAGCCTCAGTACTCCTAAACGTGTGAGCAACTGAGATACCACATTCACTGTCATTTCAGCACTGACACAGTCCTGCTGCCTGTGATGAACTAGAGGGTGAGAGCCCAGGCAAGTCCCGCCTCTGATGCAGATTTTTCAGAGTGGCTGTTTGAGGCAGTCTGTGCCACAGATTGCTCTCACTCACAAGTTCTTAATAATGGTTGATTAGGTCTATTACAAGATGAATTATTTATTGAATTAACAAAATTAACAGACATAAGACTTTAGATAGACTACTCACTACACGGGAGTAAAACAAAAGCAACTACTAGTAGATAAAATACTGTGCATGACAAAGGTATCTATATTTACAGCTAGCAAAGAAATAGTACAGATTAAGATTCAATGTAACTTACCACCAAATTGGTGTTGGCGTACACATAGAATTCTTTCTCTCAGTTCCTATGAAAGTATCAGGCAAATTTGCATCCAAAGCCTCCTTGACAAGTCCCACACGTTTCCAGGGTGTGTGTAGGAGGTTTCTGCCTCCATGAAAGTTTGTGTAGCTTTTATAGTTTGTAAAGTAGTGTCTCTCAGTCAGGAATTTCCAGTTTATCTCCCCATATCTATTCTCACGATCAGGTGTTTATTGGGAGTTCTACCCCTGGTGCCACAGAGAGAAATAACTAGCAAGTGACTTACAAGTCAGAGGGCTGGCCTGAGTGATTTCATCAGGTCATGTGTCGGGGGAGAATGTCCAGAGCTACTGCACCACCTGATTGACAGAGCATATAAGCTCTTCTGTGGTAGGGGGATGCCCTGCCACAGTGCCATCTCCTTGATTTCTCATAAATTCTCTCTCAAATTGCACCTCAGTGCATGCTCTATTCTCCATCAGTACTGCTTTTCTTCAAAACCTCCATGAGTCCACAGTTTTCCACAGGCAGTTAAAAAACCTCCAAATAATCAGACTGAAGTTTCATACTAAAGTGGTATCATCAGGCCCACTTTGAGAGTAAAGCAAGCAAACCTTATATATATATATATTCCCTGGTAGGTCACAAGGCTAATGTCTGTGATGAGGGGTAGTCATTTACCTAAAACACAGTTTTGGAAGAACTAGAAATAGCCCAAAAAACTCAAA